GCACGTCGTCACCCAGAATGGGGCGGAAGCGAGCTCAGTAAAAACCAACAGCCCGGCCTACTCGGACATCTCTGATGCCGGGGAAGACGGCGAGGGCAAGCTGGAGAGTGTGAAGGCAAAGGATCCAGAGCAGCTTGTCAAGGATGGAGCCAAAAAAGCTCTTTTCCCCCCACAACCTCAGAGCAAAGAGTCTCCCTATTACCAAGGCTTCGAAACCTACTATTCCCCTGGCTACCCTCAGGCAAGCCCGGGGCCCTTGAACCCCAGCAGCCAGGCTGCGGCCGAGACACAAGCCTTGAAGCTGAAGAAGGATGAGGAGCAGGAGAGCCCAGAGGTGAAGGTGAAGAGCGAGGGCGTTGAAGAGAAGAAGGCAGAGCTGGGCAGCTCCAGCCAGCAGCCCTCTGTCATCCAGCAGCGTCCCAACATGTACATGCAGTCCCTCTACTACAACCAGTACGCCTACGTGCCGCCCTATGGCTACAACGAGCAGGGCTACCACGCTCACCTGCTGAGCACCAACCCTGCCTACCGGCAGCAGTATGAAGAGCAGCAGAAGCAGAGGCAGAGCCTGGAGCAGCAGCAGCAGAGAGGACTGGAGAAGAAGGCAGAGCTCGGCATGAAGGAGCGGGAGGCGGCTCTCAAGGAGGAGTGGAAGCAAAAGCCGCCCATGCCCCCAACGCTCACCAAGGCCCCCAGCCTCACCGACCTTGTCAAGTCAGGGCTGAGCAAGGCCAAGGAGCAGGGAGGTGCTGACATGGCCAAATCCGTCATCATCCCCAAGCTGGAGGACTCGTCCAAGCTGTCAGGCAGCCAGGTGGCTGAGGGGCTGAAGGTGAAGCTGAGCGAGGCCGGCCACCTTGGCAAGGAGACTGCAGAGACAAAGGGAGGCTCTGAGTGCGGTCGGCAGGCAGAGGTGGACCCTGTGCTCTGGTACAGACAGGTAATGTCAGCCCACTGCCCATTTGGTGGGCTTTCCCCGTGTGTTTTCCAGGGCTGTCACTGCAGAAAACGCGCGTTGTCCTCTGATCCAAGGCTTGTTCCCATCATGAAGGGACTCCATGATTTTCCATGGCTGGGGGCCACCGAGGGGAACATGGAGAACCTGGGGAAGGGGTGATGGCTGTGCTGCTCTCTTCCCAGTGCTCAGTGGTATGGGGACACACGGGGCTGGGGGGGGAGGGAGGCAGCTCCCTGACCTGGGTGTGGTTCTTGCAGGAAGCAGAGCCCCGGATGTGGACCTACGTTTACCCAGCAAAGTACTCGGACATCAAGACAGAGGATGAGCGATGGAAGGAGGAGCGGGACAGAAAGTTGAAGGAGGAAAGAAATCGAAGCAAAGAAGTGGTGTCCAAGGAGGATGGGAAGGAGAGCACGAGCTCCGAGTGCAAACTGACCCCCACTGAGGAAGCTCGCATGGTGGGGAAGGACCCCAGGCCCAGTGTCCACGTCCCTGTGTCCTCCCCCCTCACGCAGCACCAGTCCTACATCCCCTACATGCACGGCTACTCCTACAGCCAGTCGTACGACCCCAACCACCCCAGCTACAGGGCCATGCCCACCGTCATGATGCAGAACTACCCAGGTAGGAAGCCACGGCCATCTCAGGGGCAGCCGTGCCTGTGTCCCGGCCCAGACCCGTGGTGATATTGGTGACCACGCTCCAGGAGCCAGCGGGAGGGGCACAGGGGAGTGATGGCTGGGGTCTCTGTTTCACTCACTGGAATGTGGGCACAGCTTGGTACAGAGCAGCACACCTCTCCTCCCCGTGCCCTGACTGCTGCCTTTCCCCCGCAGGCTCGTACCTTCCCTCCAGCTATTCCTTCTCGCCCTACGGGAGCAAGGCATCTGGGAGTGATGACAGCGACAAGTCTCGCGCCAGCCCCAGTGTCAGCTGTAAGTCCAGCTCCGAGTCCAAGGCCCTGGACATCCTGCAGCAGCACGCCAGCCACTACAAGAGCAAATCACCCACGGTGAGAGTCAGCAGCTTTGCCTAGCTCACAGGAGCTTCTGGAAGGTGCCTGCAGCCTGGAGGAGCTCCTGCTATAGGAAGTCTGGGGCTGTAGGGTAATCACACAACCCAGAACTTTTTGGAGTGGATGAGCCAAACCTTCATGCAGGGCTGCTCCAGGGAGGCACTCAGCCCTGCAGCTGGTGGGTGGAGGGGCAGAATGCAAGGGCTGTTCGTGTCCCGCAGCAATGTAGGGCCACCAGGCAGCTCCTCTCTGAGTGGGGAACAGGGGGGCTCTGAGGCAGCCCCTGCTCTGGGGCAGGGAGGAGCTGCTGGGCTGAGACCTGCTGGTGACTCTCACCATCCTTCCCCTCGCTCTGCTCAGTGCTGAGTGCACCCTGTAAGCGAGGGAGATGGGGATGCTGTGCCATCAGGGCAGCCCTGGTAGAGGGAAGCCCTGCATACCCCCGTCCCTCAGCGCCCGCTGCTTTCTCCCCCACAGATAAGCGAGAAGACAGCTCAGGAGAGGGACCGCAGCGGCTGTGGGGTGGTAGGGGGCAGCGGGAGCTGCAGCAGCATTGGAGGAGCCGGCGGTGGGGAGAGGAGCGCAGAGCGGCCCCGGACCTCACCATCTCAGCGCCTGCTCTCCACGCACCACCACCACCACCACCTCGGGTACTCGCTGCTGCCGGCACAGTACAACCTGCCCTATGCAACAGGTGAGAGCCCTGCAGGCCCTGGGGAGTGCTGGGCGGCGTGAACCCCGCTCCTGGCCTGGCTGCTGACCCCCCCCTCTCCCCGCAGGTCTGTCCTCCACAGCCATCGTGGCCAGCCAGCAGGGCTCCGCACCCTCCCTCTACCCGCCGCCCCGCAGGTGAGGACGGTAAGGCTGCCGTGGGGGGCTGGGCTTGGCCCCTGGGCGCGGGCTGAGCCCTTGGCTCTGGCAGGACGTGACGCCGGGACCGGGCTGTGCAGCAGGCATGTGACAGGCTCACATGGGGACGCGCTGGAGACTCCGGTAGACATCAGTTGAATGGTGTTGATTGTTCTGCTGGACGTTCTGCCATCGTCTGAGGCAGACTCTGTCCTCTCCCCCGTCGGACACACACTGAGCCCCACAGCCCTTTGGTGAGTGGCGAGCCGGCACCTGCGGAAGTATTTATTCTCCTGGGCTCCGGCGCTCGGGATGGGAGCAGATCGCCCACCTGGTGCATATGAAGAGGAAACGGAAGCACTGAGGTCTCTGGATGAATTTGCAGCCTCGCCGTGGGGCTGAGCAGCATGGGGCACGAGGCGGTGGGGCTGGGATGCTGCCTTCCGCCTCCGCGGGGCCACGGCCGGGCCGAGCCCTGCGCTACAACAGTCTCAGGGAGCTGTGGGAGGTGAGCGGGGCGGCCACAGCCGTAGCCGTGGGGTCAGGCGGCCTCGGTGCCCCCGTCGGCCACAGCCACCCCGTACGCCTCTCACAGCCCCTCGCCCCGGGCTGGGCGGCGGGACCCCCACCACCTGCCTTGCTGCCGGGGTCTCTCCCCAGTGCCTTGCGTGGCCCGGCCCCACGGCTTCCCCCTGGGCTCCGAGCTGTGCCCCCCGGGGTGCCGCTCCCCTCGCACCCTCCCCTCTCCCATCGGCTTCCCCGGGCTGCGGGCAGAGCTCAGCGAGGAACAAGCACACTTAGGCTCTGCCCAGAGGCACGAGGTCGCTGCCGCCGCTCCCTGCACCCGAGGACAGGGGCTTTCTGGTCCTCTGCCTGCCCGCCGCCCCCCGGCCAGCGCTACCTCGGCCCCACTGTCTCCCCCCGGGCCGGGGCCGCAGTGCCGTCTCCGCTGTGCGTGCGCGAGGCACCCCGGCCCCAGAGCCGCTGTACCGGGATGCTCTGTACATACTGTAAAAAGCAATTGTTTGAAAGCTGTTGTTTTTGGGTTTTGTTTTCTTCCCGTCCCCCCGCTCTCCCACCTTTCCCAGCCCGAGGGATGCCCGGCAGCGCGGCGCTCCCCGATGCCTCCCAGCTTGGCTCGTCGCTCTTCCAGCGGTCGCTCCAGAGGCAGCGGGGCCGGGGTGCTGCAGGATCACCCCAGGGCCAGGGCCGCCCCGGTAGGGCCAGCGACCGCAGGCGGAGCAGAGCGGGGCTGAGCCGTTGGTGTTGATAGCTCTCGTTTCCATTGGAGTTGCTGTGTTGGGTTTCATTTCAGTCTTCCTGATTCTGCCCTTCTGTAAAGTGTACATTATTACCAAGTTCCTTGTTTTTTATATATATATATATATATAAATATATATATATACAAACTGTACTCTTCTTGCCTTTGTACATTTGGGCAAGGAGAGAGAATAAATCTTTTTAAGAGACAATCACAAACCTGTGAGGGTGGCTTCTTCTTCCCCTCCCCGCTCCCCTGCACTGCGTTGGGGGATCCACAGGCAGCCCCTGGTGCCCAACACGGCGCAGGGACCCAGCCCAGGGCTGAGACCCATCCCTACACCACTTAAAGCCCGGAAATGCACTACTTAAAGGGATAACTGATCAGGGACTCCAGGAAGGTCAGCTGCTGAGAGGCAACAGGCATAATTAAGGCTTTAATGGGCAGCAATTACATAAAGGGATGGGTGTGTTGGAAGCAAGGCAGCACTGAGCTTAGGAGCCAGTCCTCGCCCTTCTGCCTGGCCTGTGGGGAGGGATCACAGCCATCGGTTCCACTAAGGGACTTGGAAAGGGATGGCAGCCCCCGTGCCGTGCCCCTCGAGCCCACATCTGCCCTGCTTCCATCACACTGGAAGGGAAGGAGGGCAAAGAGATGACTTGTTCACACCAGCTCGTATCCCTGCTCCACCTCTCTCCCCTTTTAGAAAATACTGAGCACGATTACAGAACGGCTCAGCTTCTGCTCTGACGAAATCCTTTGCAGGACAGCAGGAGTGAGAACGGCCCCACAGCCAGCCCTGGACTGAGACCCACCACCACTGGTTGCAGGTGATGTTCCCACCACTCCTCCACCCCACAGGAACCGCTGCAGTACAAGGAAGGCTCCGCTCTTGCAAAAAAGCAGCCCCAGCTTGGTGAAGTTAATCTGAATGCCCCTTTTATTGAACGCAGTGATAGTGCAGCAGTAACATTGGACAGAGTAAGACTGCTTAAACAAAAGCTGGAAGAGGAAATAAAGTTGGGCCTTTTTTCTTTAAAAAAAAAAAAAAAAAAGAAAAAAAAAAAAGACCAGTTAAAACAGCATTGGTTGCCCCAAAGCAGAGACGCAGAGGGGTTTTAATGTAGTGTTAAAGGTTAACTCACGCCTCCTCCACACGTCTAACCCCCAAACATGCCTTACTTTTAAGAGTGAGTGAAAACCAAGAGGTGTTCGGTCAGATGAGCGCACGCCACACATCAGGTGATGGGGACAGACCAACAGCCAGGAGAGAAGTCGGGCTGACGATGCTGCATCTACCGCTGTGCTCCCTGCGCGGCCCAGCGAGGCCTCGAGGCCAGCATGGCACACAGCTGCAGGGCAGGAGCTCCTATGCCAGTTGATAAACATCTTCCATTTACTATTTGGTGATTACATGTGTGTATATATAGTTCTCTAGGCAACACGTTTCAATGAGATAGTCAACTCTGAGGATACACAGGCCAATCTAACAATGAGAAATGCAGTTTCAGTTCAACAAAAGCTCGTTTTCCCTTTCCTCAAGAAAGGAGATGTAACCCTCTCTCCCCTCAAAAGGTTTCCAGGTCACGCTCGGGTCCCCCGCCGCAGCTATTCTTCATCAGAGGAAGAGTTCTGGTCCAGGGGATACACCATGAACATCACGTCTGGCCGCGAGGGGACAGAGGGGTGACCAGGCCTCACGATCTCAAAGCCCAAGAAGCTGAAGGTCTTCAGGAGCGGCGCTACCAAAGAGAAGGAAACGTGTTACCACCAGGAGCCTCCTCTGCAGCTGCCTCGCCCCGCGAGCCACGAACTCCCCTCCTAACTGCAGTGGGGATCCACAGCCATCCTGCAGCACGCCGATGCTTTTCACTGCATTTAGTTGGGGGCCGCAGCTCTGCTCAGAACAGCCATCCCAGCTCAGGGCACCGCTGGCCATCAGCTTCCAGGCACAGCCAGGTTTAAGAGCAGCACCCCATGCCTTATAATTAAAAAACGAGCAGAACCCAGCATCACGTGTCTCCTCCACTACAGAGGTCACCCACGCAGCCAGTGCTGGCGAAACACAAGAACTCGTTCAGCTGAAAATTATTTTTGGCATCCTAACATGGAGTGACATCTTCCTGGGCTCAGTGCGGCTTAGCTGCAATAGCAGGCACTGCTCTGGGGAGCGCAGCGCAGCTTGTGATGTAGCAGAGTAAAATTAGAATTAAGGCTGGAATTACTCCTGCCACGGCGATTTGCTCCGTTATGAGCCTGCACCGAATGAGACCCGAAGCGACACATCCACAGCTCTGTACCTCACCACAAATCTCCTCCGACTTCCGTGCTCTAATCGCTCACCCAACACATCTATCTTTAGGTCCTAAAGCAGCCCCCTTAAGCCGTAAGCATCTCCCATTGAGGTAGGATTACCTGCAGGCCTAGGAAGGGCACAAGTGCTGGGAGATCTTTAAAAAGGAGAAGGGCATCGGAGCAACGAGCTACCAGGGTTCACGTCCTGGGTATTAAGCTCTCCAAACCACAGAGGCTGGTGCCAAATACCATTCCTCCCCCAAGGAGGAGGCTGAACTTTCTGGACAAGGAAACACTCCAAAAAAAAAGCAGCACATGTAAGGATTCCTGCAGGAAAAAGCACCCCCTGAAGCCCCGGGACACACCAGGTTTCTGCACAGGTTCAGCAGCACTGCTTTAGATCTGAGGGCTAAATCTGACAGCAGGGCCAAGCTCTCACCTCTATCTTCTCTGCTTTTTCTGAAGCAAATAAAGACATAGCTGACTTTCATTTTTTCTTCAGCAAATTCCAGCAGTGCTGATAACCTGCCAAGGAGCAAGGAGAAGACAAAAGAACATCAGCAATAGGAAGTCCTGTCCCGAGGAAGCCACCGAGCACCATCCGTGGCTTGGATGCTGTCAGGCAGAACGATGACTTGTTTACAGATTGTCCCAGTGAACAATGGGTGCCAAAACAATGGGCTTCCTGCCTTCATGTCCAAGCCTGAATCCGAGTCCCCAGCACCCACCGACACGCAGCAGTGCTGCACCAAAGCCTTCGGAGCTGGGGAGCTGGACACGGCAGCCGTGTGCATTCATTCCCTCCGCTGGCAACGCACACGACCCGTGGTGCACAAAGCTGTTCCTGCACACATCACCCGGCTGGCAGAGCCGAGGAGCCGCACGGCAGAGCCCAGCTTCCTTCCTCTCCCCAGGCACGGGCCCCTCCTGTGGGCATGGAGCAGCACGGAGCCCCGCCGCCATTTGCAATGCGGGCTGTGAGCACGGTGACAAACAGGGCTGGAATCGAGATCTAATTAAACAGCAGTCAGCAAGCTCGCAGCACGCTGAGGGAGATTGAATTTGCCAGGATTTCGTTAATATGGTAATGAACTACTTTAATTATAGCCTCCACTCGGCTGTTTTACCCAGCTAAAAATAAGCCTGCGGCATCGTGCTTGAAGTCATGAGTGGGGCTGGTGAAGGCCCCCAGGAACCAGGGGCACACGTGGGGCCAAGCGCAGGGAGTACAGCCAGCCAGCCTCAGAGCACAGGAACCAGCACGAGGCAGCAGGAACAGCACGGGCTGAAGGTACCCAAGGAGCCTTTGTTGTGATGAGCAGGAGCTGGTCACACGTGCTGATGAAGCCCGTCTTGAAGTTCAGAAGGGCTTCAGGGGGCTCTGCGCAGGAATCCAGCAAAGCCACATCTACGCCACGGTGCTCCCCTCCACAGATCTCCTACAGCGTGCTTGGCTGGGAGTAGCTGCTCTGGAAGCTGCACTTACACAAACTTCCCAGAGCAGAGCTGTCTGGACAAAACACGGCCCTGTTCTGCCAGCAGAGAAAAATCAGAGGCTCTGGCAGAGCTGGCAGCCTGCGTGGCAGCAGCCCAACAGCAGAACCACCTACTGATGAGAAGGAGCACAGCAATATAATGGAGCTTTTCCCCCCTGGAAGAGAGGAAAATACTTGCCAAAAGCAGCTTGCCAATTGGCCAGTGGGATAAAATGTTCCACAAAGTATGCAAAGAATCACTCCACTCATTTCTTGAGTATTTTTCATTAGCACAGGGCCTCTGAAAACAGTAACCCATCCTGAATGGCCACCAAGGGGAAGAAAATATCCTCATGCTAGTCTCCCATACATACATCTCTGAGGACAAGGTGTTAAGGCCATCCTTTAGGTGTAAAACCAGGGAACAGAGCTGTTGTATGTGCAGCTCACCTCCCCATACACACCGCATCACAAACATAAGCAAAAGGCCACAGGCAAAGCTCTGGGACCCCAGACTTACCCTTCTTTGCTTCCATCAGCTAATAACCCATCAGGGATTTCCACAAAGAGGCTCTGATTCGAAAGCACTGCATCCCAGGAGGAAGTCTTCACCTCTGTGACCTTGTACTGGAAGTGGACAACATGAGGCTTCCCTTCGTGCACCGGGACATCTTGGCTAACAGTGATCTTCTCATCCTGCACAGGGAGGGAGCAGAGCTCATGACATGCACTGCAGGGTGCAGACACACCACAATGAGCATTCAGGCCTTACAGCAGGGCTCAAAATGCGTTTTCCTGCTCACGTGAGTGCAGTTCTGCATGTTAGCCCTACACTCAAACCCTGGGCAGCAAGGGACCATTCAGATCTTGGAGGGCAGTTTGTCGGCGACTCCTGGAGCCTGAACCAACATGCTAGAACAGCTTCTGCCACTGCAGCCTGACCACTTCTGTCACCCTGCTCCCCAGCACAGTCTCTTTGTTTAAGGAACGACCACAAGCTGCTTCCCCAGACCTTACAGCCAGCTGGTATGGCAGTGGATTAAGGGAGGAAAAGACAGCACAGAGAGAATCCCAAACCAGACAGAAGCTACACGGATTGAAGGCTGTGGCAAGGTCTTTTCCAGAGACCACAGATGCACGCATGCCCCCCTAACACAGCTCCAAGCAGGATGCCAAGCAGGCAGCCTGCCTCAAATTCAGTGAGCAGTTCCTAGAAAACAATTTTGTGGTTAAATGCCATTCCTTCTCCTGACAGTTTTCGTAGGCAGCAGGCTTGCCCAATAATAACTTCCACATTTAGCTGTGAAAAGCCCCAGTGAAACGACCGGAGAAATTCATCAGGCCCCAGAGTAACACTGTCAGCTGCAGCTCAATTGTTGTATCAGGGCAACGGAGCCAGCTTATGAGCTCTGAGATGCAGAAAGAGCACCTCAGCTTCTTATCTTTAATTAATATATTCCACCTATGCAGCACTGACCATAATGCCCACACCTGAGAAAAGGCAGCTCGGTTTGGATCCATGGTATTCCTCCTCACAACCAGGAGGGCAGGGGACGTTTCCTCAGCTGTGCAAGCACTGCAGAAACAAGTGGTTCAGCAGGAAGACTTCTGAGAGGGTTTCCAGGCTCCTCCACCTCATTTCCCACTGTTTTACCCCCTATCACCACACATGCAAGCAGTCAAACCCCCCTGGTTTTGCTGCTGTGCCAAGAAAGAAGCTGCTGAGCAAGTTAATGCTGGTGACATCGGCTCTGCATGTAAATCAGGAACTGCCTGCTGCTGGTCACCAAAGCAGAGGAAGCTGCTGTTTGTTTCAAGTGCACAAAGCTGTGTGCTGAAAAACAAGTTTACACTTGGTCAGAATAAATATCCTGCAGGAAATAAACCTATTGGCTGAGCTTGAAACAAGTCTGTGGGTTTTGTGATGGTTTTCAGCCAAGTGCACCCAGAAGCCTACCTACCAAGAGCTGCAGCTGGAAAGGGACACCTGACCGTGGCACAGAGCCAGTGGCAAGAGTCAGAGCACCACAGAGGTGCATTTAAAAACAGCACAACAAAGGGATTATGCACACCTTTCATGGGAGCCTTCTGCAGTTTTTCCTGTGCACAGAAAGTCCCTTCATGGAGGAAGGGATCTCTCAAGCATGAGAAGCTTACAGCTGCTTTTCTCATACTTCACAAAAACAAGAAGAGAAGGAAGTTGAGAAAAGCAGGGGAGGGGTGGCACATGCACTGGTTTGTGTGGGAAGGTCTGCAAAGCCTGCAGCAGCAGGGAAGGGTTCCCAGAGCCTCCCAGCCCTTCTGCAAGCAGAAGCCAATCACTTTCAAAGTTCTCTCCAAGCTCTGAACCTAGCAAGGTTTCCCATTTACATGGATTAACAGAACCAGTTCCCCTGGCTCTGTGGGAACTGCATTTATGCAGCCCATCTCAGGCAAGTGGAATTTTATTCCTGTCAAAATAGTGACATCCCGAGGACAGAAGCTGTTCCTGTGAAACAGTAGCCCAGAATTCTTTGGAACATGCTCACAGCAAAATCCTGTTTGTGCAACAAGCATCCAGTTTTCGCTCACTCACCCCTGCAGAATGTCCCCGCCACTCTGTCTTTTATCCCAGCTGCCTGCTCTGCAACCCCAGGCTCCTTTCTGGCAGCTCAGAGCCACAAGGACCAGCTCCCACTTGCTTATACTTCACCGAGTGCAAAATTTTCCATCCCAGTTGCACTCCTCAAGCATCTCAAGCAGGACAGGGGGAAAGCCCTGGGTGCTGGCAGAACAGGGAAGAAGGATGTTAGGATCTTTCTGTGTTAAGGCTCTGAATGCAAGAACACCAACAGCTATAGGGAGCCATGCTGCTTAATTCGTAATGCTGTTGTGTGCAGGCACTGTGCTGCAGACTCGGGAAGAAGGCAGGCTCATTCAGAAAGGTCATGCCTTCAGCTAGAACAGCTGATACAGCTGGAAAAAGGGCTTAAGCTTTTGGGTCCAGACGCCTTTCCATGTCACACTGCAGCACCACTGACTTGAGCAGGCAGCAGAGAGGGGCTCCCACAGTGACCCACACCTGGAGTGGAACTTGAAATTGCTCTAAACGGTTTAAAAACACAATCTGCTCCACTCTGGGATGAGCTCTGTTAAGGAAGGGGTCAGTTCTCAAAGACTCTGGTAACAAACTGGGTTTTATCAGCAAAACAGTGATATTTCCTCATGAATTTCCAGAGGAGACTGTGTAGCTGTGACCTGGAAGGGCCTGCATCATTTCATCATACCAAGTCTGCTTGCCTCCCACAGGGTAATTAAAATCAAGACTAACACCTATGACAACACTGCTGTCTGAGCTGCTAAATGTGCAAGCTTAGCATGAATTTAGGCAACTTCATCCAATAGCACTTCACAGCCTGGTCTGTGGAAAACAGCCCTCGTCCCAGAAGGCGAGACATGCACCACTGTAACACAACAGAGGAGATGCACAAGCACCAGTTACTGCACTAAAGAGCCAACCCAGGTGGAAGCCAAAAAGATCCCTTACAGCACAGGTGGCCACAGAATGAGGGGGACACAGCACTCTTAGGCAACTCTGCAGAAACTGTGATCCCGTCCCTCCCTGCACGCAGGAACGCTGCAGTGTGAGAGCAGCCTGCTGCTGCCACGAAGTTCAGGTGGCTCCCAGGCCTGGACAACGTTACCTCCTGGAGCAGAGCACAGGGAGGAGCTTACCAACCCTCACCCTCTGCATCTCACCTTTCTGCTTCCCATTCCCCTCTCTTTGCACAATGTCTGAGAAGTTGCTTCATGGCTCTGCAGCTGGAACAGCCTCTGGGAACGGGGCTCACCAGCTTTGGCTGCACACCTCCGAGAAAAGTCTATTAAGAAACCAGCAGTACTTAAGCAAGACAGCTGCTGGCAGAGCTGCTGGAAGAAAATGAGCTGTTTCCCCACATATTATCGCAGAGTTATTTGTGTTTGTTCCCAAAAGGAAGCAAGCAGAGCTGTAATGCAGATATAGGTCATTATTTGGACATCAGATGTTGCTCACCTTATAAATCAGAGCTGAAAGAGAAGGATCCCTGCTACCCCCTCGCCCACCGGGGATCTTCGACAGTGGGTGAGGGGCATCAGGAGCACCACAGAGGCCCCGGAACGATGTGCCTGCAGCACTGCAGCTGGGGACAGTTACTCAAAGGTAAAATACTACTGCAAGAGAAAGAGAGGACAGCAGTTAGCAGGGATCAGGTTTCCAACACTCCAGCTCAACCCCAAGCCGCTCGTATTGCTGCTTCCCCAAGACACGGGAGGGCACCCACGGACCTTCCACACCTGCAGGTCTGCACTAAGCCACCTGGCTGCCCACACTGTGAGAACAGCAGAGCTTTGCTGGAGGCAGAAGGGCTCTGGTAGCCACAAACCCAGAGAGCGTGCTGAGCCACCCCTTGCTAATAAGGGACGGCTGGGAGCCTGCCAGGAGCAGATGGCTGAAACGCATGACCAGATGAGCACACATTTTCTACAGACAAATATCTACAAATAGACCAACAGGGCTCAGAAGGAGGAGGTTTAAAGTTTCACGTTTTTGAAACAGGGAGGAGTGAGAGGGCTGGTTCTTCAGATGCCTCCAACACACTGCCCAACATCCCAGCTGGCATTTCCACACACGCGTGAATTATCACACAGCTCCCTCAGCCCGATCCTATCATTACAAGCTCACCCCACAGACTTCGTCCTGAAATTGTTTTTTATCAGCTTAATACAAGTGAAAGAAGCTCCCCTTGCAATCTCAAAGACCCCTCAGGATCACTCTGTGCTTTACAGGCTTTACCACTACCCTAGCTTTCAGCACGTTCACAAAGGCAAGTTATTTTGCTTCTGGAGCATTATGTCCTTCACCAGCACCAAAAAAGCCCTTTCTCAAGGCACAGGGCAGCAGCAGCATTCCTGTAACCAAGCCTGCAAAGCCAACACAAAGAAAGCAGCCCTTGCCCAGCACTGCCGTGATGCAGCACACCAGCACAGAGCTGTATGACCACCACCCTGTCACAGCTTCCCGAAAAACAGAGCGAGGCTGTAAAGGACAGGCTCCATGCAGGCATCTACAGCTGGCTGGCTGTGCTGAAGCTTCTCAGGTGAGGCGTTGCTCTGCACTCCTGCCCTGCTCCGTGAGCTCAGCACCCAGGGAGCCAGATCACCTGAATGGCTTGAGCAGTGTGCAGGGAACGGAATGCACACCAGCAGGTTGAAAACAACCAAAACGCTTGTGGGTGCCAAAAACAACTTGCAAACGCAGTTACGACACAGGCTAGAGTCCTGGCTATCTACCCCACACCAAAACAATCTCTCTGCAGAAAACACAAATATCCCTCCTTCAGCTTTGCTAGACAGTGCTCTTCTGCAGTGTTTCCACGTGGCCACGACCTACACCAGATGCTGCTTGCAGAACAGGCTGCTGAACCCTCCAGAAGAGCCATGAGGAACTCACGCTGGAGATGGCTGAGGGCAGAATCCCTCCCGCACGCCCGGCTGCACTCTGTGTTAATACAGTCCCTCGGCACGGCGTGACTGGGGCCATCAATGGACCAGTGTGTATTCAGTAGTAGTGGATGTGGAGAGGCATGACAAAGCACTTTGCTGTGCCATTCCCCACCCCCAGAAAGCTGCTGGCAGCTTTGTTTTTCCCTTCCCTCCTCCCTCACCCCTAGTTAACAATGTACTATTGATAGCTCTCTCCAACTTGCAGCCACTGCATCGAGAAGCTGGATAATGAAGTGCAGTCGTGGGGGAAAAAAAAAAAATAAGAAGAGAGAAAGGCAGCGGTTCTCATGCAATGCAGCTCCAGCCACTTCCCAGTTTTGCTTCCTCCGGCACATGCAGGAGGCAGAACATAAGCTCCCTTCTTCAAGGGCTCGGCCTCCGGGCCCGGCCTCACCCAGCCGGCACGCTGCCTCACCTCCCACCAAGCGGCCCTAACAGCAGCACGGGGCGCCAATCGAAGGACTTTTCCTTCTCTCCCACGCAGCGGTCCCACGAAGAACTTCACACCACAGCCCGACAAAACCTCCTCCTCAACACAACCGACGCAGAGCACAAACTGCACAGCGCTGCCATCCGCGGCCTCTTCGTGTTCGCCGTAGCAAAGGCGCTGAGCCCCCCGGGCTCCTCCGGCCGATCAACGCGCAGAGCTCCGCGCCCACGCCGTCGGGTGTCACCTCGCAGCGGACACCCGCTCACCTTCCAGCCGCACACCTGCAGCCCTGCACCTCCGGGGCGCGCCGCGACGAGACGGGCCGCTTCCTTCTGTCGCGCTGAAGAGCGGTGCCGGGTGCCGTTCCCACGCAGCCCCACCGCCGGCCCCGTGCCGACCTCCCGGTGCCGAGGACGCAGGGACGGCTCCGCTAACCGCAGGACGGCCGAGCGCCGGGCCCTACAGCGCGGGCCGCCCGGCCGCCGCCTCCCGCCCACCTCAGCGAGGGAAGGCCGCAGCCCGCCGAGGCCCACCCCGCCGGAGCTCCTCGGGCCCAACGCCCTTCTCCGTCAGCCTACGGCTCCCCGAAGAGCGCGCAGAGGCTCGGCGGGGCCGCGCACCTGTCCTGGGTGTTTATCATCCTCGGCTGCCTCCGGCTAGGCTCGGCTAGGCTCGGCTCCGCTCGGCTCCGCACCTCCTCCCTCCTCCGCCGCCGCGCTCCGACTGACCCCGCCGCGCGCCGCGCCCCGCCCCCTTCCCCCGAGCGCTTGACCACGCCCTCTTCCATCGGCCACGCACATGTGACCACGCCCCCTCTCGTTGACCCCGCCCCCTCCAGCGCGCGCCGGGCAGGCCGGGAAGATCCACCGCCCCAAACAAAGGCGGCGCGCGCCCCTGCCGCGCATGCGTGGTGCGCTCCTCCCCTCAGCCCTGCGCTTCGCGGGGGTTGGGCGGCGGGGAGCCGAGGCGGGTCCGGCTGCCGTGGGTCCGTGGGTCGGTGTGATGCGTGACAGCCTGCCTGGTTCGTGGTAATCGAACTTCAGAGGTGGCCTGGGGACCTGCTGACCCATAGCCTGGATGAGTAGGAGCCAGAGGGACGTAGAGACCCGTAGCTCAGGTGCATAGAAACCGGAAGGATGTAGAGACCACAGTTCAGATGAGTAGAAGCCAAAAAGAGCTACAGACCCGTAGCCTGGATGTATAGAAACCAGAAGGACCAGATGTGTAGGAGCCAGGAGGACAAGAGAAATGGGAATGTGGCCATCAGCATGCACAGCTGCTTGTTGCAGGGCTCTGCACGCTCTTGTGATGAGCAGGGGGATGTGGAGCCTGCAGAGCCGGGCAGTGCAAGCAAGCTGTGGGCTGTGATGGGTTCAGCCTGCTGGAACAGAAGTTCCTCAGGCCCCTGGGAGCTGAGCTGGAGCACATCTGGGGAAGCCTCACACCTACTCGCCCTCTCTCACGCTATCTGTCCCGGTCCGTGGGCTCGCAGCCTGCAGGCAGTGCTGCTTCAAGGCTCCCTGGTTCCCAGCGCTGCAGCGTTGCGTTGCTTTGGCAGGAAGTGACCAGCTGTTGTGCAGAAAGCTGGCCTCCAGCCAGAGCCTGAGTTCAAACACGGCCCAGAAAATGGCCTTTCCCCCTTCCTCCATGTTTAAAGCCTTGCTCACAGCCGTAATTCTATTTATAATACCCAGGAAAAGCAAGCTGAGACTTTCCCACAGTGGCTGCCTTGCAGGCGATTGTTGTTCGGGAAGCTGGAATGTACACGATATTATTTTTGAATCCCCCGGGAAGGGTTTTATTGCGCGTCCCTTCATGTCCCCATCTGTGCCACGGAACGTTTTGCTGAGCGCGAGGTCTCTTGCTGCTGTTTGCGGCTCTGAGAAGCTTTGCTGAGATGCTTTGGGTGTCTCTGCGCCGTGGCATGTGTGTGTCCGCCATCCCCAGTGCCTCTGGGTACTTTGCAGATGTGCTGCTAGGATGGTGATTCCGCCCGTCTGCCCATTTCCAAGGCACTTCTCACCTGCCAGTGAGGTCTGTGGCACTTGTGGCTTTTCCATTTACCAGCACTGCAAAGCAGTGAGCTGCTGTTGTTCTTAGGGCATTCCTCTGTCCCCTGCTTGCTGTCCTTGCTGTGCAGCAGTGAGGCTTTTCTGGTCACTGTCATCCTTCTGCCTAGCAAACTGTCCTCTTTTCTCTGTTCTTTTTTTCTCACAAGCCATTTGCAAGCAGCTTCCCAGCTCCCAAAGCTTTGTGCGTTGTTTTAGCGTGGCATTCCACATGCAATCCAGCAGAGCATGTTCCTTTCCTGGCCTGGGAACACTTCTTGTGCTGCAACCACCGCGAGGTAGGACTGGCACCTTAGAGCAGCTCTGCTGTTCATTGTGCCAGTTTTAGGATTCATCATCGCAAATTCCAGGTGATGATGTCTGCAGGCCTTGGTGTTTAAGAGCCTGGCAGCCTCATGGTGCTGCCTAGGGTGGAAGATGCTAGGTGGAAACAAGTGAGGAGATGACAGGAGGACAGCTGCTTGTCACAGCCTTCCTGAACGTGGGACTGACAGCAAAGATGCTACCCAGATGTTCAAGGCTGAGAAGGACAGCAGGGTCCCTGTGGGAAGGGAGCATCTCTCGAACATTTGCTCTGCATTCTTCCTTGTCATCAGTCCTGGCCATGAGTTTGTGTGAGAAATGGCCATAAGCCCGTTCACCCCTCTGACTGGCTCCATGGCAATGCAGTCACAGGCTGACCTCACAGCCACAACCTCTCAGATAAGGAAACCCGTGCTGCTGGTTGTACTAGGGAAGCTGTAGCCTTTCCCTCTGCCTGCTCCCACAGTGAGTACCGCATGCTTTTCCCTTGGCTGTGCCCTCATCACTGCGACCAGAACCTGAGAGCCCTCAGTACCGCATAGCTGGATGTGTCAGAGGCGTGCTGCCTCATGGAAAATATTTAGGATCAGAACTTTGAAATTAAAGATAGAAAAAGATCGATAGCTCTCCAAGTAATTAATGCCCTTTAGTTATTTAAAATCGTCTTTAGGAATGTGCCATTTGGAAATTTCTAGGGCTGAGAACATATCTGGGAATGCAGTTATGTCTTCAGCTGCAGCCTTTTCACCCTGCTTTTGTGACTGCTTGTTTTCTATGTTAGGATCTTGTTTTTCTAGGGGAAAAAAAAAAAAAAAACACAAAAAGAAATGCTGCCAAGAAATTTTGTTTTCATACCTTGATCCTCCCAGGCTGCCAGTTTGGCCTTCCTGTGCTGACATGTATTGCATTACCAGCGCTGCAGCACCAGCAGTGTTCCTGGGTTTTGGCTTCCCGTGTTTCTGGGTGAGCCATGGATGTGCTCAGGGGAGTCGGTCAGCCTGCAGGGCTGTGAGGCTGGAATCGTGTCTCAGAGTTCTCGTGTGATTGTCCACCTCAGGGTTGGGTTTTAATGGTTGAAGCAAGCCATGCTGATGCAGTTTTCTGCTGCTCCTTCATATTCCCGTCATAGTGAGTTGCTTCCCTGGCAGACCTGCCTGGAGCTGGGGGTCAAAGCTGAGGCACGCTGCTGCCATCCATGCCTCTCTGTGTTTTAATGAGCTCTGTCAGAATTCGTTACTTTGCCATTAAGTGGTGTCAGCGCAGAGTTCATGCATGAGCTAAGTTGAAAATCTGCTAGGTGTGAATTAGTGATGAGAGAAAAGCAGGTCAAGGAACACGTTGTTTCAGAGCACGCTGAGCTTCAAGCTTAGCAGAGGCGATACTGGTGCATCCAAGGTCTTGAGCAGGCAGACAAAAGAACATAGGCGGGGGATGAGAGCTGGTGACAAGACGTGGTAGCCCATCCATCAGCCCGCCATGGTTCTGTGTGTCACCAACAAGCAGTGTGCTCTGAAGATGCTCTGGGCCAGCCCCCAAGCCTTTACAGGCATCGGAGAGGGCTCTGCTTGCATCAGCGGGGTGGTCATGTGGTGAGGTGCTGCTGTGAGAGACACGTGAGCCCCCAGCAAGCCTGCACAGTGGCAGGATGTGTTGCCCTGCAGGGGCAGGCAGGGTTTTACTTCACATACTGGAAAAAGACACTTCCTCCGTCTGTGATCACTTGGCATAGCACAACCTGGAAATGAGGTGTGATGGAAAAAATAAGCCACGAAGAACAAAGCCTACAGCAAAGGCAGGAACGTGTAAGTGAGAGGTTGGGGCATGTGGCTCCCAGCTTGTGGCTGTGTCAGCTCGCTTCCCTTGGTTAAAAAAAGGCGTCTGTGTTTCTCTGCCCCTGTTTGCTGTGATGGGAGGATGCTCACAGCTGCTTTTCTGCGTCATCTTGGCCTCCCTCTTCCTCTGTGCCCGGAGCCTTTTTCTTTGGCTGCCTGTGGAGTCCGTTCGTGCTGTAGGATACATCCAAGACCTCCTGGTGCAGGCTCTGCTGGGTGGCACCAAGTGCCAAAAATGAGCCCTGGAGAAATATCTGAGGACGGATTGCTAACAAAGAGAGAGGAGTGCTTTGCTGGAGGGACCTGCCTGGGGAAAAGGAGGCCTTTGGGAAGAACAATATTATGTTTAAAACAGGAACATGCTTCCTAGTGTGCAGACAAGTGTCATGCAAGCTGCCTTGTGTTGTGGCACACTGATGGGTGCAAAGGAAATGCTGTGGCTGATAGCAAAAGGACTGGTGGATGTGACATGGAAAACAGACGGGCTGTGAGGAAGTGTCTTGCTCTGACACACTGCACATCTGAATCCAGCTAGGTCTTTGTATTGATTTTTGTAAAAGCCCTTTCAATTACTTTTGCAATGAGCTCATTCTTTCTGGCACATCTCCTCTCCCTTGTTCACTTAACACGGGCTTCGTCACACCTCTCTTCAGCCCTCTGCATGTGAGCTGGGAACAAGCAGCTCTGTTGTTGTCCTCAGGGAAAAACAGGCACCTTTGGGGCATCTCATCCTGGCTGCTTTTCGGCGCCGTGTGGCAGTGTGTTGAATGGAGCCGGAGGTGTTTCTGATAGAGCTGTCTGAAGTCAGCCAAAATCCGGCTGGCGTGCTCCGCACCGGCACAGCAAGGCTCACTCAGAGCCTTTCTTTCTGCTTCGGTGTTTGGGTTTCAGGCATGTTGTGAAGCGATGCTGGAGGCTTTGCCTTGGCTGTTGGCTGGGCAGCCTGGTGGTCCAGGAGCACGGATTCGCTCCTGGCTGCAAAGCGCCTGCTTGCTGAAGCTGCTGGGAACAAAGAGCTGAGGAGCTCACGGACCTGTCCAGGCAAAGAACCTCCTCTGTTTGCTCTAATAATACTGCTTTTCTCAATTCTACACCCCCATAATGATGTGTCTGGGCCTGTTTTAACCCACTGGATCACTTGGAGGCTGCAGCTGAGGTCTGGTACCCAGATGTTTCCTGAACCTGATCTTGCCTCCGTCCCATCCTGTGGACTGCTGGAAGAGGTAGCACCATTCCTCTTTCCCTTGCTCTGTGCACATGTGGGCTTGGGATTGCTCTCTACAAACCCCAAACCCTCATGCTCCTATTTGGCTGTCCCATGGTTATTTCTGCACGTGCAAGGGCTTCTGCTCGGTGCCTTTCCATTCCCATGTGGTCAGATTCATAAAGCTGATATTTCTGTGGCCCCACAGGAATTTTCAGGCTCAGTGAAACCACCGCTGAGGCTGGCTGCGTCTTCACCCTCTGGATTGCTTGGGAACGGAGGCGAAGAGAAGAACATTGTCC